AAAAAAAAAAAAAAAAAAAAAAAAAAAAAAAAAAAAAAAAAGGAAATGGGGAAGGAAACGAGGAAAGGAAGGATGGAATTTCAACTTATTTCTCACATCTTATACAAAAATTAATTCAAAATAGATCACAGAACCAAATGGAAAACACAAAATTATAGAGATTTTAGGGAGAAAAACAAAACTCATGTGAGAAAGTCTCTGGGATCCTAGGACCAGGCAAAGAATTCTTAGACTTGAAATTAAAGACACGATCTACAAATGGAAAAAAAATAACCTTGAAAAAATCATTTACATCAAAAATTTAAATTATTGGTCAGCGAAAGACATGCAGAGGATGAGCAGAGAAGCTACAGAATGGAAGAAAATATTTTAAATGACATATCTAAGAAAACACTTGCATTCAAACTATATAAAAAATTCTCAAGGCTCAACAGTGAAGAACAAAGAATACAATTGGAATATGGGATGGACAAAAATCATGGACCTTTCACTGAAGAATATATACAGGGGGTAGATAGAAGCATGAAATGATGCTCAGTATCACTAACTATTGTGGAAATGCAAGAAACCACAAGATAGCAATGAATGCCAGAGGGGTTTAAAAGAAAATAGTGGGGCTAGGGTTGTAGCTCGGTGGTAGAGTATTTGCCTGTTCAAGGTCCTGAGTTTCATTCCCAGCACCACCAAAAAAATTAAAATGAAAGGAAGGAAGGAGAAAGGAATAGAAACAAGAAAAGAGGGGGAAGGAGAGAGGAGAAGAGGGAGGGAGAGGGAGAATATTGAAGACAATCCTGCAGCAAAGAAGAGAATTGGATCCTTCACACACTGACGGTGAAAATATAAAGTAACACAGCCTCTCTGGACATTTTCTTTACTAACTAAAAAAATTTTGCAGCTCAGTGATCACATACTGTGAGCATTTATTCCACAGAAATGAAGGCGAAGTCCAACAACAATGTGCTCATGGATATTTCTGGTGGTTTTATTTTCAATAGCTAAAAACTGGAAACAACCCAAATGTCTTTCATCAGGTCTATGGTAAAACAAATCGGTACATCCATCCCATGGAATGAAAAAAGCCAACACCAAAAAGTTACATACTGTATGGCTTTGTTCAAATCACATTTTTGAAATGTCAAAATTATAAAAATAAGGAACAGATTAGTGGTTGCCAGGATTCAAAGGAGCAGGGGAGGAACTTGAGAGCAGCTGTTAAAAAAAGCAACCTAAGGAATCCTTGTGATTATGGAACTGTTCTGTATCTTAATTGCATCAAAATCTATATTCTGGTTGTGATATTATACCATGTACTGTGCTGCATTATACTGGTAAGATGTTCTCATTGCAGAAACTCAGTGGGTAAAGTGTATACTGGGTCTCTGTATTATTGCTGACAATTGTGAACCTATAGTTAGGTCAACGTACAAAATTTAATTTTAAAGTAGGTTTTAAAACCAGGCAGGATATTTGGACATTTGTCCAAAAAAGGCAGAAATAACAAAATGGAAATATTATTTGGCAGAGGTGGGTAGTTAGCAAATAGAAGATGGAGAAGAAAGTGAATCTTGCAAAAATACACCTCCACAGGAAATATTCAACACAGTCAAGTCCAAGTGAAAATGAAATTATGTGACTCAGATTCTCCTGATGTGACCTACTAAAAAATGTTGTCTGAGAGAAGACAGGAATTTTAAATTGATAAAACTATTTCTCTGAGGCAAGATTTGCTTACTACAGTGTGAGACATGTAGAGTAGACTCCACCTAAACTTTCTAGGATTTAACTTGATTGAAACATCATCTGATTTTTTTTCAGGAGTCATTTATTTTGCAACTCTAAACATATAAACTACAAATTGATATTCACTGGTAATTCTGCTTCTTTCCCCTCCTGTCTGGGTGGTGCCACACACCTGTTATAAAGCAGAATTTTCTACAGTTGTTCATACAGCTTAGTGGACAAATCGGTGACTTCTCCAGCCACTACTGCTGCCTCTGTGTGTCCCACATTTTTTTTTGTAAAAGGTGAAATATTTATACAATCTGAAGAGAAACCAGAGTATTCCACATTGTTTAATAACCACTTCACCATTAAATTGCTGTCGTCCTAATACAACCCTAATGGCTAGCCCTTACCAAGTACTCACTGTATGCTAGGCACTATTTTAACACTTTATACATCAATTGTTTATACATTTATTAACTCTTTAAGATATACCATTGAACATTTATTAACAATTATTATTGTTAATAAGTTATCAGTTATTAGCTTTTCTAATAACTCAGTGGGTTAGATCCTGTTATTATCACCATTTCACAGATGTGATATAGAGTCCTCTCTAAAAACTGAGTGATGACAAATGAAAAATGTGACAGATTCTAACTAGTTGTGCCTTGAATTTTGACAGAAGCAGGTGACAGAATCACGACTAACTTTATGTAGGCAAAAGTGACTGATACACACCACTTCCAAGAAGAACCTGTAAAACCCTCCCATGGCAGCTGAATAAAAGGATGTCAAGGGTGTAGAAGAGGAAGAGTTTCAATCCCTGCATTGCTACTGAGAAAATTATCTAATTAGGAATATTCGCATGGACTGCGTTTGACCGAAAAATAAACTGTTATTGTTTTAAGTCATCTGACTTTGGTATTGTTCATTTTTAGCCAAGATGTTAAGAGAGCACTACTCTGAGTTCTCATCCGTCTTTTGCTTTTTTCTTTTCCGATATGAAGCCAAATCCTTACTTCCCTAAGATTTTGTTTTCAGCTCTCTTGTCTTTATTCTCGTCACTCAGCCATCTACTCAATTTCAAGCCTCAGCACTTTGTTCCATGTAAATAAGCCCCAAGTTTTCTCTCCTGCCCTATTGCTGTTTCTCTTTGAGGAATACTACTTTGCTCTGTCTTCTGATCGCCACTATCTGAATTTCCTTTTCCTCACCCCACACACTACTTTTAGCCCAGATCCGTCAATACTTTGGGTTCTGAAGTCCCTGCTTCTGAGTGACCGCCTAGGAAAACAAGCTTGAATTCTCTTCCACTTTTCTCTAGCTTCCCTCTCCCTCTTCACTATTCAGTGAATCGTCCTCATACTCTCTCTGGACACGTCCTTTCTGTTTTCTCTTTTCCATGTCTGCTGACATTGTTCTTGTCTAGTCTGCATAGTTTTCCCTGAAGTTTTTAACATCCTCCTGATGAAAATCTGAATTTAGGTCTGCTTCCCTTCCTTCCATGTTCGCCCTACACACACACACACACACACACACACACACACACAAAGCTCTAATCAAGTCACATTGGAGTCATCAATGTGTATAATTGCTGTAATTTAACACTTAAATTTATCAAAGCAATAATAGAAATAATTTTGTTTCATCTTATTTTCTTATGCCTCAGTATATACTTTACTCTCTAGCTAAGAAGCGAACTCTTAAGTCTGAAGAGTCTACAGTTTTTGCAAGTACATTTCAGGATATTTCTGTTTCTATCTGCACTTCTCAGTTGTAGTCTTCTTTCACCAATATCAATCTCAAATGCCACTTCTACCTGAAGTCCTTTGAAGAAATATGTTCTATTATGAAAAAACTAAGTATACAGAAAAATGAACAAAATATAATGAACCCCTATGTACCCATATACAGCTTCAGTAATTTCCAACTCATTTTTGACTCATCTGTAACTTTATCCACTGCCTCCTCCCTCCCAGGTTCCAGGTCAAATACAATCACTCCCTTCTCTCTTGCAGCACTAATATTGCTAAGAACATTTTATAATCATTTCTTTTATATTTTATGTTCTCCTCTAGATTTAAAGTCTCTTGAGGGTAAGGTCTGTGAGTTGCTGTTCCTCAGCACAGTGACCTTTGTCTAATTGGCAAAAAACAATATACTTTGAAAATTAGAATTTAAGTAACTAATGTGTTTTAAAAGTTGTTTTTTACAGTATTAATAACCATGCCCTTTGACAAAATTCTTTATATAAAACTGACATGAGCACCAATTCTATTTTTAAATTTTCTAAGGAGATCCATGCACTTCATTAGTAATCCAATACGCTGTTTGGTTTACCTCAATAATCACTGAATTTTATGCCGAGACTTAGCTCAGGGTGACGTTAGATAAATCATGTAGAATTAGCATAGTGAATATATTTTTGTTGCCTATTTTGCTATTAGCAAATTGCACATTCCTGTTATAGCTCACAAGAGAATTATGAGATTAAATAGAATAGTCTCCTATTGATTATACAGGTTATGACTGTTCAGAATTCCTTTTTGGCCATCCCTAGATATGCTGTCAAATTTTGTATTTCCATTACTCACTAGCTCAAGTCTCAAAGAATGATGCAAAGGAAGAGAATGTAGAGTATAAATTATTTAGTGGTGAGGAGTCAGTAAAAAATTTGCTGGGATAGAAAATTAGTCATTAACTAAAATAAAAATTCATCTGTCTTTCATAACATGAATAATAAAGACTTACTTGTAAATCATTTTGAAGCCCATAAAGTCTTTGTGATAGTGTTTGTGTATTCTTGTATGTGTGTGTGCATTACTGTGTATGTGTGCTTACATTTCCATTATGCTTATACACACTTTAATGTGAAATAATAAATACATTAAAACAAAAATGAGGCTAAGGGAAAAACTATGCAAAAGACTGTACATGATATGTCATCAATCAGTTTACAATAAAAACTCAAATAACACACAATAGGGAAGAAATAGTCTCTTCAAAAAATTGTATTGGGAAAACTAAATATCCACATGCAAAAGAGAAAAATAAAGCTAAAAATTAGATCCTTATCTTACTTACAGTGCACAGAACTAAATTGAAAGTTGATTACAAATTTAATTATAGTACCTAAACTGTAAAATTCCTAGAAGAAAACATGGGAGGAAGTACATGACATCGATCTTAGAAATGATTTCTTGGAAAAGCAAAAATAAGCAGGGCATGGTGGCAACATAACTGTAGTTCCAGCTACTTGGGAAGCTAAAGCAGGAGGAGAGCAAGTTCCAGCCCTGCCTGGAGAATTTAAGTGTGATCCCTATCTCAAACTTTAAATACAGAAGAAATAGAAATGGGGTAGGAATGCAGTTCCATTTCCAGGACCCCCCCACACAGTACAAAAGTAATCATGTAGAATTACATCAAACTAAAAAGTTTCTGCACAGCAAAGGGAAAAAATTAATGGAATAAAAAATAAAAATGGAAGATAATATTTGCAAATTATGTATTGCACAAGAGGTTAATATCTAGAATATATAAGGAACTCAACTCAATAGCAAAAGTAAATCTAATAAAAGATTTTATTAGACTTTCCTTGAAAGATTATATAAGGGTGGGGGTGTAGTTGGCTCACCTAACAGGTATGAGGTGGTAGACTTTCCAGCTCTGGAAAAATAATAAAATAAATAAATGGCAAAGGGGTACATGAAAAAATGCTGAACTTACTAATTATCAGGGAAAAGTATATCAAAACTATGAGATTCTGTTTCATTCCAGTACACTCCAGTTAGGAGAAAATGGTTATAATCAAAATGACAAAAGATAAATAACTGCTGATGAGGATGTAGAGAAAAAGGAACTCAATACTCATAATACTCTGTTGGTGGGGATGTAAATTAGTATAGCCACTTGGAAAAGTGTGACAGTTCCTCAAAAAAACTAAAACCAGCAACTCCACTTCTGCATGTATAACCAAAAATAGATAAATCACTATTTTGAAGCAACAGCTGCAATCTCATGTTCATCTTTGTATTATTCACAATAACAATGATATAGAGATGATTTAAGTATCAGTCATCTGATGAATAATCACGATAGATGCCTTAAAGAAAGGAGGAAATTCTGCTATTTGTGACAAGGTGGATGTTTCTTAAAATGTCTAACTGAAATAGAGTGGTTGCCAGTGTTGATGGGAATGGGAAGATGATCAAAGGGAACAAATTTTCACCTATTAGATGAATACACTCTAGAGACTTAGATATTGCCTGGTGACTATAGTCAATAATAATTTATGGTATAGTTGAAGTTTGCGGAGAGTAAACACAAATATCCTAATCACACATATTCACAGAAATTCTTATATAAAATGACAGATATATTAATTAGTTTCATTATGGTAATTATTTTATAATTAATATGTACATCAAACCATCCTTGCACATCTTAAATCTGTATAATTTTTATTTGTCATGTATAACTTAATGGAAAAATCTACTTATTGAACAAAACAGCCGGGCCGTAAGAAAAAGATACTCTGAACAGCTACATTGTTATGGAAGTTGATGTAAATTAAAAAGTCTTGAAAGTAACAGGTAAGAGCCTAGGATATTTAGTCACCCATTATATGGGCAATCATTCATAAAAGTATAATATGCTATATTGAGAATGAAGGGAAGAATTATACGCTTTGGTGGTATTGACTAATTTGGAGATTTTCAACTATCTAAAGGCATATCTTTGTAAAGTCCAGTGTGACTTGTCATGGATAAAGGAATAAAGAGGACCTGAAAAAAATTATCCAATTTACCACTCACCACTTGTGTTGGGCAGTACCCTAAAACTGCAAAGCAAAGCCTTGTAACTATACTGAGATTGGTGAGCACTCTCATTGCTACGAGCAGATCTGCTTTCTTGGGTCCAAATGATACAACATGTATAGTGTTTCTTCTTTATATTATTTTCTAAATTTAAGAAAAATGTTTGAAAACCACCACCTAATTTAACACTATCCCAACTAACCTCTATGTAAGACTTCACCTGTGCCAGAAGAACCTCTGAGATATCCATTAGAACCCCATGTGAGAGGCCCAGATACAGATGACTAGCAGCTCATGCCTGAGTTAGGGATGGTCTTTCAAAATCTTCTTTTCAAATTTAATCTCATGCCAGTTCTTCACAGTAAGTAAATGATTGTGTTCCTTTCCCTAGCATTTATTTTTCTAAGCACATCTTCTCCTTTCTCTTTAATCTCCTGTTGTAACTCATTCGTCAGATTACAGATGATCTCTGTATCCTTGCAGCTCAAGTCTTGGGTCCCCTGGACCACATGGCATTCAAGGTGATGCTGCTGCCCTTTCTGCACCACACAGCACTTCAGGACAATGTCTTGCACATGCTGTGCTGAGGGAAATTCCACAGCAGCAGTATTGAACAAGCAGATCCCTGACATTGCCTCCTGTCTTCCCATTGTTAGCTCCAAATCATTATTTTTTAAAAAAATTATGACCGAGTTTGATTTTTCTCTCTAAAAACATATTGCTTACATTTTATGGCAAGTAAACATGACTTTTCTTTTTGGCAGGACTGTGGATTGAGCCCAGGTGTGTTATACTACATCACCAGTCCATTTTAATATTTTTTATTTTTATTTTGGTCTTGCTAAGTTTTCCTGGCTGGCTGTGAATCTGTGATCCTCCTGCTTCAGCCTTCTGAATAGCTGGGATTATAGGTGTATGCCATCATACCCAGCAAACATGAATATTCTTTAGTTTTGTATATTTTCTTTCTTTCAAAAATACAAGGTGTGATCAAAATATACACATAATGTTTGAAT